AAAATTAGCCAGGCATGGTGGCAGGCACCTGGAATTCCAGCTACAGGAAGCTGAGGCATAAGAAACACTTGAACCCGGGAGGCGAAGGTTGCAGTGAGCCAATATGGCACCACTCCACCCAGCCTGGGCAACAGAGCAAGACTCTCTCTAAAAAAAAAATAATAATAAAAAAATAAATAAAAGAAGAATCCAAGGCAGCAGGTATTGAGGTGTTGAGGGCTAGAATTCCACTCCAAGTATGTCTAGTTGCAAAGCCAACTTCTTCCTTCAATGCTGGCCAGATGCTAAAGGCCTCCTGCCAGCCCAGACCTGTAGAATTCTGGCAAGTCCTATGCCTCCCTTCACGTCTACCACCCTGTCCAGGTCAACCTCACTCACCTCATCACAGATCTCCTGAAGGACACTGGAAAAGAACTCACGTACCACCAACTCCCCAGCAAGGTCCTGGTGCTGGGGGCTGTCACCAGGGCACAGGGCCTATGAGAAGTCAGGCTCAGCCCCTGCTCCCCACCCTCTTCCCTCCCACCCCATCCCGGGACCAGCAAGCCTATGCTTGGTGGCCCTGAGATCCTGATGTGACACAGTGTAAGAGGGTTAGTGATCCCAAGTCTGGTGTCCTTTTCCAGGCAGATAACCAGAGGTCCAGCTTCAAAGGGGTCACACAGGGAGTGGGATGGGGTAGGGCATCTTCTTCCTGTTCGTGATCTTTCCTCCCCATGCTTCTAGTTTCTCAAAGGACTGGGGCAGGGGTCAGTGGGGAGGCAGCCAGACTGCCCTGAGCAAATTTTCAGAGAAACACCAGGTCAATTTTCCCTTTAAGGGACGAGGAAACCAAAGCTGGGAGGGTTGGGAGGGTGGAGAGCTACAGCTCCCTTGAGCTGTCTGGGTCTTTGTGCCCAGGCTGGCATCTCACCTGAGGCTCAGGGTGCCCACCAGGCACGTCCACCAGCCCAGTGGCCTCAGCCACCTGCCAGGAGCGGCGCAGGAAGACAAGGAAGTCATCAGCCGTGGACAGTGCAGCGCCCACCCCCAGTGGGTCCGCCAGATAGGCCTGCGTGTCACTGCAGTCCGCGGCCCCCTGCTGTCGCAACCAGGCAGCTGAGCTGGACCAGTTGGTACCCAGGAAGTCCCGGTAGGAAGTAAGACCCAGGTGTAGGAGCAGCTGTGGCCCCCGAGAGCCAGTGGGCGCCAGGGTGGCTGAGTGCAGGCGAAACTTGGGTGCGTCGAAGAGCCAGGGTTGGGCCTTTAGCCGGGTCTCCCAGATGGCAGTGATGGCCTCATCCCCACCTGGCAGTGGGCGACGGTCATAGGCGGGGCTCAGCTCAGCCTGGACCTGCTCCTGGGGCAGGCCCCCCGCAGGGCACTGCAGCAGCAGGGTCACCTCAGGGTCCATGGGAGGCAGCTCTGGGGGAGGATACAGCCAGGCCTGTCAGCCAGGGGGGCCACTACCACTCCTGGGCTGCGCAGCTGGCCCCCTCTGTCGCAGACCTCCTGAGGGCACCAGCAGCCGTTCTGCACCCCCCGACCACTCCTTGGGCAGCGAAGCGTCCCATCTACCCCGCAGGAGCCCCGAGTACCCCAGGGTGTCCAGGACGCCCGGGCATCCCTGCCACCCAGAGGTCCTGGGTTCAGGTGACCCCAAATGCCCATGTCCCCCAAACCCAGGGACTGCCTCCGACCCTGGTCGCGCGGAGACCCCCCTCCCATGGCCCAGAAGCTCCAGCCTCCAGCCGGCGCTCACCGGCCGCAGGGTCCCGCAGGCTCGGCCCCTTCCCCCGAAGCGGAAGTGCCCGCCCACTTCCCCCGCGGCTTTTTATTGGCGGGTCCGCCGCCCGCTCCGCCGCGGTCGCGGAGCCTGGTGATTAGTCCCGGTTGCCCAGCCGCTGCTGCCCAGACGCTTCCGCCCTGTCCGTCTGCACGTTGGCCCCGCCTCCCAGACCACCCTGTGGGACGCACCCGCGAGCTGGAATGCGGGGCTCGGCCTCCCTGCGCTCCTGGCTGATGGTGTGACCTTGGGCAAGTCTGGCTTTCTGGGCCGTAGTTTTCCTCTCTACACCTGGGACGTGGGGGTGGGGGTGGGGGTGTGAATTTAATGAGCCGTATACCCCCATCCAGCGCTCACTTCCTGAGACTTTGTGATTTTCTGGGAGGGGTGGGGACTTGGGAGGGGCCTTAAAGCAGTGCCCCCTCGTCACTGCCCCACAGGTCCTAGCCATGAACTCCTCTGGAGGAGGAAGGCAGGAAGCAGCAGGCCCCAGGGGTAGAAGGGCCTTCAGACCCCGGGAACAGGTGCGCGCTTCCTCCCCACCCCCTCCCACCAGTCCAGGCTCCCTGGGAGTTGCTGGGGGGCGGGGCTGAAGGGTTCTACCATTCCTGGAGACCACTGACAGTCCTCTCCCTCCGGGCTCTCTCTGCAGCGGTCATTGAGGGTTTAGGGTGGGCAGCAGGGCAGGGTCACCATGGAGACCAGGGACCACCGCTGGGTTCTTTCAGGACCGAGACGTGCAGCTGTCCAAGGCTCTGTCCTATGCCCTGCGCCATGGGGCCTTGAAGCTGGGGCTTCCTATGGGAGCCGGTAAGTAGGGGCTTTGGAGGCTGGGGCTTGAGCCCAGAGAGAAACAAGAGCCTGTCTGTGACCTCTCCCCCACGGCTGCCTCCACTGCTCCCTGAGGAAGGCACAGAGGGCACTTCTTCCCCATGCACAGAGGAGAGCAAGGCCTAGAGACACTGTCATGCCCACAGCAGACCGAGGAGAGCTCTTGTCTGGGCCAGGCCTGGCAATGCCCTCTCCAGCTAAGCAGCCAGATCAGCACTTACCTCGAAGGTGTGCCCTGGAGGGTATAGGGCACCTGGTGTTGAGAGTGTGCACTCACCTCCCTGCCCCTCTGTGAGGCAGATCCTCTTTCTGTGTAAGTTGAAATAACGGGCCCAGAAAGGGGAGGCTTTTTTTTTTTTTTTTTTTTTTTTTTTTTTTTTTTTTTGTTTGATTTGATTTGGTTTTGTTTTTCAGGATCCTGTTCTTGATGCCATGCTATATTTAACCATCATGCCTCCTTAGTCTCCTCTGCTCCTTGGCATTTGTTCAGGCTTTCTTTGCTTTTCATGATCTTGGCAGTTTTCTTTAAGAGCATTGGTCAGGCATTTTGTAGACTATTCATCAATTTGGGTTTGCATGATGATATTCTCATGGTTACACTGAGGTAATAGGTTTTTGTGTAAGTGACCAGAGAGGCACATTTCCCTTCTTACATTTTATCTGGGCACTGATATATCTTGTCTTTGACATATCTTGTCATGTATTGCAATTTTAAGTAACTGTCATTATGAAATCTTATGTGAGCTTTTATTTTTAATTGTTTTCTCTTTTTCCAGATCTAAAGGTAGACAAAAATGTAACGCCAAGCTAGAATTTACCTATTTCCATAACTTAAAGAAAAATGGAGAAAATTTTATTTAAACTTTTTTTTTGAAAACTTTGAGATTAACATTAGAACTTAGTATATTAATTTTTATGTTGAAAATTTTCAATGGGTTCACTTTACCATTCCCTATACAGAGCCAATTTATCAAGACTGGGGAATTGCAATAGAGAAAGAATAATTTACACAGAGCCAGCTGTGTGGAACACTGGGAATTTTTTTTTTTTTTTTTTTTTTTTGAGACAGAGTTTCGCTCTTGTTACCCAGGCTGGAGTGCAATGGCGCAATCCCGGCTCACAGCAACCTCCGCCTCCTGGGTTCAGGCAATTCTCCTGCCTCAGCCTCCTGAGTAGCAGGGATTACAGGCACGCACCACCGTGCCCAGCTAATTTTTTGTATTTTTAGTCGAGACGGGGTTTCACCATGTTGACCAGGATGGTCTCGATCTCTTGACCTCGTGATCCACCCGCCTCGGCCTCCCAAAGTGCTGGGATTACAGGCATGAGCCACCGTGCCCGGCCCACACTGGGAATTTTATTATTACTCAAATCGATCTCCCCATGCATTTAGGGATCATAGTTTTTAGGGATAATCTGGTATGGAGGGGGCCAGTGAATTGGGAGCTCTGATTGGTTGGGTTGGAGATGAAATCATAGAGAGTTACAGCCATCCCCTTGCACTGAATCAGTTCCTGCGTAGGGCCACAAAACCAAATGAGCCAGTTATGAGTCCAGGAAGTGTCAGCTGATTCATTGAGTACAGGGCTGCAAAATATCTCAAACACTGATACTAGGTTTTACAATAGCAATGTTATCCCCAGAAGCAATTTGGGGAAGTACAGTATTTTGCAGCCTCCAGCTTCATTACTCCTAAACAATAATTTCTAATCTTGTGGGTAACTTGTTAGTCCTGCAAAGGCAATCTAGTACCCAGGAAGGAGGTTTATTTTAGGAGAGGCCAACTATCATCTTTACTTCAAAGCTAAAGCTTAAACTAAGTTCCTCCTAGAGTTAGTTTGGACTACACCCAGGAATGAACAAGGACAGATTGGAGGTTAGAAGCAACATGGAGTCAATTAGGTCAGCTGTCTTTAAGTGTAATAATTGTCTCAGCTATAATTCTTGTAAAGGTGGGTTCAAAACTCATTAGTATAGTTTTCTTAATCTTATGTTTGACTTTGTGTTGGTCTGTTTTGTTTCTCACTAGTTATGTCAGCAAAAGTTAAGGCTTACCTGTAAGCTTGAGTCTTCTCACCTGGCCATGATCATGGTGATAATATTGTGTAATAACATTTGTTAGCACAGTGCTGACATACTGTAAGAGCTCAATATATGCGTTCAATTGTTATTATTATCAATATTATTATCAAGTGTAGCAAATATCAAACTGATAAAGAAAACCTAATAGCCTTGTAGTGGAACCATGGATTAAAATAATCAATTTAATTGTCTATTGTGACCTTTAGGATACACCATTTCTTAAAAGTAAAATATTATATGCAGGACAAATACTTAGGATCAAATTAGACAGAAATCTATCTTAAAATCCTTTAATTTCTCTATGATTAATGTTTCTGAACTAATTTCTTGCTACGGCAGTTAATAAATTTGTCTTTATACAAATGTTTTGTTAGTGTAACATAATTCAACTTTTGTAAAATGGTAAAAATAATTGATCAGGAAGATGAAACAACCTACAGCTTTGACCGCAATTTAATCTGATGCCATATATTCTAAAAATGTACCCATGTAATCATTGCTGTATTTCCAAATATTTTTAACTTGTTATTATGCATATGTTAGAGGTGCAAAAGTATTTCCTAGGTATGATTAATGACCTATGACTATTCCTGAGATCTTTCTTTTTCAATTTATAGCTTCTACACCAGCAAAAAGTGAGGAATGAAAAATAACCTCATTATCTTTATGCAATTGCAATCACTAGGTTTTCCTACAGCCTTTTCCATCAAGTTTTCATTAAATATCTATTTCATCTTGCTGAATATTTATAGGTATTTCATGAAAAACTAGATGTTTTAGATTCATCCTTATAAACTTTACAAAAACAATTTTTGCAAGAGCTACCATCATTTCATAAAGAAATTAGATTAATAACATCAAATTGAAAATAAATTTTACAATGAAACACCAAACAGTTGAACTGATCATCATGTCAGTATAAGAAAAAGCTCAACATAGTTATTCAAAAATTATAATGAAGCACAATTTATTATATATTTTGGTTCTAGTTATAGTTTAATTTTGTAACAAAAGTTAAAAATAGAGTGCTAAATATATAAGATTACATTATTTGATTATCATATATCAATATTCTGGGAATTAATCAAAATTCTAGTAGCATGATTATATTCAACATGGAAGCTACCTTTTGTCCTTACCCTGTTTCTTAGTCTTCACTGCTTCACTTCCAAAATCATAATCTAAAAAGAGACTTGCAAGTAATAACAGTTTAACTGAATGATCTTTATATTAAATAATCTTTTTGTCCCCTATTTTGAGGAGGATCATGAGCATTAACATACCAAAACCTATTGGGTACAGCAAAAGCAAACTTTCCTCCTACTTAGGGGAAAGTTTATAGCTACAAGTGCCCCTACACAAAAAAAGCAGAACAACTTGAAACAAACAACTTAATGATGCATCTTATAGAACTGAAAAGCAAAGGAAAATCAAACCCAGGATTAGTACAGTGAAATAAATAACAACAGAAATAAATTTAAAATGAAGAAAACAATACAAAATATTTTTGTAAATAAAAGTTGTTTTGTAAATAAAACGTTTTTATTTACAAAAATATTTTTGTAAATAAAAGATACAATTAACACAATTTTAGCCAGAATAACTAAGAAAAAAGAGAGAATATCAAAAAAAATCAGAGATGAAAAAGGATATAGGAAACAAAATAATAGGTTTCTTAAAAAACCTAGAAGGAAAAGAAAAATTTCTATTTATGTACAACCTACGAAGATTGAACTATGAAGAAATTCAAAATCTGAATAAACCAATAGCAAGTAACAAAGTAGAAGCCACAATAGGCTCCCAGAAACGATCTCCCAGAAAAGACAACTCCTGGAACTGATAGATTCATTGCTGAATTCTACCAAACATTTAAAGAAGTAATAGCAATCCTGCTCAAACTATTCCAGAAAATGGAGATGGGAGTACTTTCAAACTAATTCTAAGAGGCCAGAATTACTCTTAACCAAAACCAAAGATGTCTCAAAAAACAAAACCATGGGCAAATATCCCTGATGAACACTGATGCAAAAATCTTCAACAAAATATTAGCAAACTTGAATTTAATTAACACATTATAAAGATTATTCCTCATGAGCAAGTCAGATTCATCCCAGAAATGCAAGGATGTTTCAATGTAAGCAAATCAATTAATGTGATATATCATATTGACAGAATGAAGGAAAAAACTATGCACATTTCAATTGATGCTGAAAAACACTTTATAAAATTGTTTCTTCATAATGATAATTATAATAATAAAAACTGACCATGCAAGGAACATACCTTAACATATTAAAAGTCATGTATAAGAGGCCACAGTTAGCATCATACCAAATGGAGAAAATCTGAAAGCCTTTTCTGTTAGATATGGAACAAGAGGAGAGTGCCCCCTTTTACCACTGTTATTTAAAATAGTACTCAAAGTCCTAGTTAGAGCAACCAGAGAAGAGAAAGAAATGAAACACATCCAAATGAAAAAAAAAAAAAAAGAAGTCAAATTATCCTTGTTGCCAGGAAACATAATTTATGTTTAGATAAACCTAAAGATGCTGAACCAATACTAGAACATTTAAACTCATTCAGTGGGAAGTTGCAGAATACACAATCAATGGGCAAAAATGAATGGCATTGCTATATGCTAACAGGAAACAATCTTAAAATGTATCAAGAATGTAATCCCAGGCTGAGTGCAATGACTCACGCTGTAATCCTGGCACTTTGGGAGGCCAAAGTTGGTAGACAACATCAGGCCAGGAGTTTGAGACCAGCTTGGGTAAGATAGTGAGAATTTTATATACCAAAAAATTAACAATTAGCCAGGTGTTGTGGCACATGCTTGTAGTCCTAGCTACTTTGGAGACTGAGATAGGAGGATTACTACGGCCCAAAATATTGAGGCTGCAGTAAGCCATGACTGCACCACTGTACCCAAGCCTGGGAAACAGTGTGAGACCCTGTCTGAATAAAATAAAAAGAAAAGTAATCCTATTTACAATAGGTACAAATAAGACAAAACAACTAGAAATAAACTTAACCAAATAACTGAAAGACCTCTATAAAAGAAATTATAAAACATTGATATAAGAAATTGAAGAGAACACACACAAAAAAATGGAAAGATATTTCATGTTTATGGATTGAAAGAATCAGTATTAAAATGTCCATACTATCCAAAGCAATTTATAGATTCAATGCATTCCTTATTAAAGTGTTAATAATGTACTTCACAGATAAAGGAAAAAATAATCCTAAATTTTATATAGAACCACGACAAAAAACCAGAATATTCAAAGCT